CTGTTCGGATTGGAGTTGATCCCTCAGTGTTCGGAGTAGTTGATGGTGAAGCCTCAGAAGGATTATCGCTCGGCATAGTGCGTGGGAGGAACCTCGTTTCAAATGGATGTGAGAGGTTCAGGAGTAGGCTGGCCAGGGTTTTGGGAAACAATCGGAGCATATAGAATGGCCACAGAAGCAGCTAGGGTAGCCGTAAGAACAACTGCAGAATAGTTCCTCCACATGCTGAAGGAAGGGATCTGTATTTGTTCCATAGTAGCACTAAGGATAAATATGTCAGAGAGATTTTCTGGAGTAAGCAGATCGGAAGTGGAAGGGATGATGTTCAACATCTTGTCCTTTAGAAAATCGAGTCTAGCCCTACAAACGCTGAAAACCAATTCATCATGAGGAATGCCAAGGCAACGGCAAAGGAAAGTGCAGAAACGAGAAAGGCAAATTTCATAGGGGCAGTCGTTCTTATGTTTCTTATATTTTTTGTATAAGGGGACAGAACACTCCCCAAAAATGGTCGGGATAGGATAAATCCGAGCGATTGGAGTCTGACAAGCCCTATTGACCCCGATTAAGTTACTTCTCCAACCTTTTTCACAGGCGAGTTTATCCGTACATATAGATCGTTTTTCGAGGGGAAATAAGTGGAAGTATATATCGCTGGTTCTGATTTTGGTAACTCGATAGTAGAGAAGAAGGTCCAGGATGTCAAGATCTAGATTTCTATCACGATTTAAAATCAATAGAACTGATATTACCCTGAGAAAATTGGGATTAACTTGAAGAGGGGAAAACCCAAATTTGTCAAAGACATAACAGAAGAACGGATGCAAAGGGAATCTAATTACATTTAAGTGAAGAAGAGAGAAGATGATCTCTCTGGGAAGAAGACCCTCACCAGTTCTCTCATCCAAACCCCCAGAATATAACCTAATGGAGACATTGTTGGATATTTCGTACTTCAAACGAAAGGTTTCTAAGTCAAGAGCCATTGCAATGGTGGAGGAAACTCTCGGATTTAGGTTTTCTTTTTAAAAAATAGCAAAGAGCAAAATCCTCGAAAAATAACAGGAGATTGGGACTAACCTTAGAAAGAAAATCTGCAAAGTACACCGCAGTAAAGTGAAAGATGAAGAATCGCAAAAGGAAAACTTACCGGAGAAGACCTGGTTATTGACGGAAACGATCAAAGGGGATGATGCTTGAAAATAAAGATGGGAAAGATAGAAAAAAGGTAAAAGATGGGAAGTCAGGGGTTTTAAAGAGGAAATGACTCAATAAGTTATGGCAATGATGATATTTCAAATTCTGAAATATGGGCCTCTGAACCAACCGTTCGCTTCCCCACGTCACCGCCTCGAGCAGTCATGTCATTATTAAGACTCTTCGATAATCTCACCCTAATCAATTAGGGAAAGATTATTGGGGCAGGCGAAGATACCAAAAATGGCCAGGGCCAGGTACGACCCATATCACCAAAGATTGGGTCAAGATAGAACCCTTAGCCCGATCGGATGACCACCTATCAGGCCCAACATCCCTTGAGACAATCTCCAAGCCCAATCCCAAAGCAAAGGAAATGAGCCAGTGTTCAAGAAGAGCCCAAATGATCGGTCCAACATGGAAGACTAAAGAAAAAGTTCCTAGAATAATTGAAAAAGTTTATAAACAGAAGGAAAAGAGAGGAAAAAGCGGTTGAGATATTTTGAAGTATAAAGACTTATCTTTCTAAATTGAGAGAGTAGGTTTATTGCGCCTTCAAGAGCTAATCTCTCTCTCTCTTATCATATTGTTACTCTCTCTCCACAACAAATCCTCATCCTAATCTGATCAATTCTTTCATTTTTACACATAGTTAAAACAAAATCAACAAATAAATAACACAAATTAATACTTACAAAATAAAAATAAAAATAAAATATACCTACAAGCTAAAAACTTTTACATTGGCAATCAGTTGGTGTAGCAATGAGATGATTTCAATATTTCTGATTAATCCTTTCATTCTAAAATATTTCTTCTGAACTAAGTTCACACATTTGTTCAAATTGTTGTCAGACCATGAAATAAAAAAATGGCATTGTTAATATGCGTTAGAAGATAAATAAAAACACGAGAAAATTTCATACCTTAGGGCTTAACCACGAATGCAATGGATATATATATATATATATATATATATATATATATATATCAGAACTTTGCGGATGCTAATTGTAATCAACTGGGGATGGAATACACTTCCGTTAGAACTGTATGGTAATAACAAATTAACAATTGGGGTTTTTAATTGTATAGAGATAACAATCGGGAATTCGAACAGCTTGATTTGAAATACAATCAATATAAATGAGCTTGTTTAATTTTTATTTATATATATATATATATGGTTAGATTAAATCTAACGGTCATTTTTCAAAACCAAACATTTCCTTTTAACACAAAACCACTCTCACCCTATTTTTAGTTTTTACAGTAACAATAAAAAGTAATTATCAAAATAAAAATAGAAATCTTTCAAATAATAATAATACAAGTATATTTTACTAATAAATTTATTTTTATTTAGATGTTTCTTCTTTCGGCTCACTTCACCTCTATTTTTCACGTTTATGTCAAACAAATAAGAAAAACAAGAGAATTGATAGGGGATTAGGCGGTAATAGGAGGCAAGGTACTATACATTTTTTTCGATTTCCTCTTCTTTATTTATTTTGTTTTGAAAAAAGTAAATTTGTTTTCTCTTTAAATCTTTAAGTTCTTTGCGGCATTTTTTCTGTTTCCTCTTCTATATTTATTTTGTTTTGAAAAAATAAATTTGTTTTCCCTTTTAATCTTTAAGTTCTTTGTGACTCCTTATTTTAATTACTATTCTTCAGCCTCCTTTGCCCAGATTTATAAATCACTAATTCAATACATGAAGTAAAAATCTTGTTACATTAATTTTAATTGATTCAAATATAATTTTAATTCAGAGCAAGCCTTTATTTTGTAACTTTTTGACAGTATCTTTTTTGTTGAGTTTTTAGGGTGAAATAAATTATTTGATTTTAAAAGGATGATTTGGTATTTTAAAATAAGTGTTTGGAGGGTATTTTGGACTTAATAAATAATTTTTAATGTATATGTAACTATTATTTTGCTTAATTCAATTAAAGTGAAATATAACTTTTAAAATAAATTATTTTGTTATTTAAGACGGCTAACTTGATTTAATTGTAGTTTTCCTGTTGTGAGTCACAAATACTAACATGGACCTGTATTTTGGGCCCTATGAAGTATTTTAAGTAGTAAAGTATAAATTCCCGGTAGTGGGCCTGAGAGATAGGTACTACAGGTCATATGTTTATAAGAGCACAATAGGAGTACATTTGAAACTAGACAAGGCCCAGCCCAACTGCAACAACCCAATGTACAATATTTAAAAGAAAATGATAGAATTTTACTTGTTTTTGATAAGTTAAAACCTATTGTCTTATCAATTAATTGCCGATAAAGAGTTATTGGACTGCTTGTTGCACAACTTTTAAGAAGATGGAGCACGATAAACACAAGACATTGCCCAACTCGCAAACAAACAAATGGGTGCTTCTTTTGAAATTATTTGAACTGTCTCTAGGCGGTGTTTCAATAAGTTGGCTTTGTGAGCGTTTTTCACGTTGTTTATGTTTTTGTTTGGTTAGATGTGCTTATATTTGATTTGTTTTTGGCCAGTATAAGTAAATTTTTTTTTTTATTTTTTTTACGGTTAGATCTGTCAGTTTTAATTGTTTCCAATTCGATTTAATATTTTTTCCTCAAATTGATCTTGTGCGAGTTTTTAGTTACCTTGATGATGGTTAAGTCTTTGAGTCGGTTCTGTTGCTGTCCTTTTCCTTCGATGATTTCTGTTGAAGAGTTTTGACTTTTGTTCTGAACAAATTTGAAGCCTATTTTTAATTTTTTCTTGTTTTGTTTCAAGATTTGTATGTTTTTTTTTTTAATTTGTCTTTTGCCTCCGCTATGCCTTTGTAATGAACAAAAAAAAAAAAAAAGAAGGGGGAATTGTCTTAAGGTTAAAAATTGAAATGTATGGCTGATCTCTGAATGTACAATTTGAGAAAAAGTGAAAGTCTGAAAAACACCCCTGTAGTTTTAAATTTGTGCAAATTACACCCCTTTAGTTAGATTTATTTACATAAATTCATATTAAATATAAAAATGTGCAATTAAGCCACCTCCGGTGACTATTCCGGTGAGAATTGGACGCTAGTTCATGCACATGACCATTTTAAAGCCTTTATTCCAAAATTACCCTTCTTATATTCCTTTTACTACCCCTCACCATATATATCTATATATACATATATATACATACATACATAAAGGGTTGTTGACTATGTAGGAAAAGAAATCATTGGCTCTAGATGATCTTCTTTATTTTGTAGGAGATAATCGTATACAAAGAGGGGCAACCACCCTTAGAAACATCCCATCCCTTTGAACGAGCCTTATTCTTTTTCCGAGTGCAAACCCTAAAACAAAAACCATACATACAAGTTAGCAGTGGCAGAGAGAGAGCGGGGGGCAAGCTTGAGAGTTGAGAGATAGCGGCTGAAGCTTGCAAACGGTGAACCTGAACTAGAATAGCGAGTTATGGAAACTAAAAGATATGGGTTTTGATTTTTTGAACAATCTGAAATGATATGGGTTTTGATATAGGTAATAGGTTTTGAACTTTTGATTCTTACAGGCAAATGGATAAACTGAAATATATGGGTTTTGAACTCTGATTCTTGTAGATTTTGTAGTTTGCAGTTGCAGAGAGAGAGAGGGGGGACAAGTTCAGAGTCGAGAATGAGATTAGAGATGAAGTATTGATAGAAGGCTATTTTAGTCTTTTTATTCATTTTTTTTGTTATTTTATTATTATTTTTAAATCATAGATAAAGGACTATTTTAGTCTTTTTGTAGTTTCGGTACCTGTCAATAGAAGTCAACGCTCAAAAGGTACTAATTCACACTATTTTTTAAAGTACAAAAAAGGTGAACAAACAATAGGAGGTTATGAATGCAAAGCACAGGCGAGCCTTGAGAAAATTATAAAAGTTTTACATGAAACTTAAAACACAAAAATAATTTGATATTTAAGCACATATTCGATCATGCATATTTAGCATAATAATTTTTAAAACTTTTTTAAAAAATTATTAATAAAAAAAAGGAAAAAAATAGAAAAATTCAATGACTCATGCGTGCATGAAAGAACAATCAGGAGACCGACAAAGTTCGTGCACCTAATTTAATAAAAAAAAAAAATTAAACACGCCCGAAAAAAATAAATAAATAAATAAATGTGGATCACGAGACTGACAAAGTGACAAGACGTGATTTTTGCGTTGATGATTTATCGGATGGTATTCTTTTATTACAACAATATATAAAGAGGCAAAGCATTTCAATCACAATTTGCTTTTCTTTGAATTACAGTGATAAGATTGCAGAATCCAAAAACTTTTGATGGATCACGATCAATCAGCACCACCACTACCTCCTCACGTGCTCGTCTTCCCGTTGCCGGTTCAAGGCCACCTGAACTCCATGCTCAAGCTGGCCGAGCTTCTCTGTCTCGGCAACCTCCACGTGACCATGCTCGTCTCTGACTTCAGCCACAGCCGCCTCCTTCGCCACACCAGTGTCCATTCCCACTTCGCTCGGTATCCCGGATTTTGTTTCAGGACTATCTCGGATGGCCTTCCTGAGGACCATCCGCGTGCTGGTGAGCGAGTTGTGGAGATCATGTCATCTATAAAGTCCGTCACTGGTCCACAATTTCAGGAGATGATGATAGCTACCGATTGCTTTGCTTCCGAAACAAAGCGGCCTATCACATGCATCATAGCAGATGGGGTTCTGAGTTTTGCCGGTGATTTTGCTATTCAAAGGGGAATTCCACTCATCTATTTTCGTACTGTCAGTGCTTGCTCTTTTTGGGCTTATTTTTGTATGCCTGAACTCATTGAAGCTCAAGAAATTCCCTTGAAAGGTATGTTAGCTTTTTATTTATTTTTTTATTTATTATATATACTTTTTTATATTGAGTCTTATATGAAAAATACACCTCATATTCCCAGACTCCATAGTCTCTCGTATGAGGGGGTGGTGGATTACTTCAAGTAGAGTGGGGTCCATAGAGATCTGATCTGATCTAGAACCTTCACCCATGCACAAGAACAAACCTCTCACATCTTTCAAATGTTGAATTATTTTTTATTTTTCCTTTCAATAACCAACCTAATAACAACACTATGTTGTTGTTGTTACTGTGTATTGTGTTTAGGAAATGGAATGGACCTATTGGTGAAGAGTGTACCGGGCATGGAGGGTTTTCTCCGACGACGTGACCTTCCTGGTTTTTACCGTGTGGACGAAATTAGTGATCCGCGTTTGCAAGTCGTCAAAACTGAGACCAGACAAACTCCTCGAGCCCAAGCAGTGATAAAGAACACATTTGATGATCTAGAAGGACCCATACTCTCTCAAGTACGAACCCACTGTCCCAATCTCTTCTCCATTGGGCCACTTCACGCGCACCTAAAAGCCAAACTTGCAGCAGAGACCAACTCTTCCTCAACCTCTTCAGGTAGTTTTTGGGAGGAAGATCGAAGCTGTGTGACGTGGCTCGATTCTCAGCCGTCCAAATCTGTGATCTATGTCAGTTTTGGAAGTATCACTGTAGTGACAAGAAACCAACTCTTGGAGTTTTGGTATGGTCTCGTGAATAGTGGGCAACGGTTCTTGTGGGTCATGCGGCCGGACTCCATCACCGAAAAAAATGGGGAGAATCAGATTCCGGTGGACCTGGTGGAGGGCACGAAGGAAAGGGGTTACATGGTGGGTTGGGCCCCACAAGAGGAGGTTCTTGCCCATCCAGCTGTTGGTGGGTTTTTGACTCACAGTGGGTGGAACTCAACTTTGGAGAGCATAGTCTCAGGCGTGCCTATGATTTGTTGGCCTTATTTTGCAGACCAGATGATTAATAGTAGGTTCGTCAGTGAAGTTTGGAAAATTGGTTTGGACATGAAAGATACATGTGATCGAGTCATAGTTCAGAAGATGGTTAGGGATCTGATGGATGTCAGAAAAGATGAGTTTCAGGAACGTGTGAGTCATATGGCCAATTTGGCCAAACGAGCTGTGAATGAAGGTGGGTCTTCGTACTGTAATTTGGATGCTCTGATTAAATACATTAATTCTATGATTGAATGATCAATGCGCCAGGGTTGGAAGTGAAAGATGCGTGGTAAAAATTGCTGGAATATTTATGATTTTTTTCTATGATGCATATCTAAGTTTTATACATCTCCACTATTCACCATCACAAATGAGTAATGCTATCAACTCAACTGCATTGATCAAATATAAAAGGAAAAATTCCATAAAAATAAAATTTTTGGGGGTCGAAGACAAAAGAATGGAGTCACAGTTAAGTTTTTCAAATTCATGAAATTTTCTCAAAATCAGAGGCGGACATGAAAATTTCCTGTGCATCTTAATTTGTTGTCAAAAATAACCCTCATTCATTAACTTTTTCTCTCTAACCTTTGCAACAAATCAAATGGGTCTCTCTTCTCTGTTTCTTTCGCCCACCACCTCCATCCTCTCCAGCCAGCCACCACCACCATCATCACATCATCAAATAAATTACAACACCCAAATATATGCAAATATAACAATACAAAACGAATTCAACAATCCGCTTCAGAATGCACCAAATTCAAAACCCAAAATTCGGTTGGCTGTTCAATTTTATTTATTTTTTTTTTTTTTTAAGATTAAGAGGATTCTTCTAGTTGAAATTGTTTCAAATTAAAGGAATTATCTTTTGCAGTTGACAATGTTTAAACAATTTACAACTTTTGGAATTAGAGGCACGTTACCACATTGGTTCAATTTTAATTTTTAATCAGTTACATACCCTTTGGAACTTAGATGTATTGTCCTGAAAGTGAAAAATGTGACGAATTGTTGAATTTTGGGTTTTGAATTTGGTGCATTTTGAAGTGGGTTGTTGAATTCGTTTTGTATTGTTATGTTTGCATATATTTTGGTGTTGTAATTTATTTGGTGATGTGATGGTGGTGGTGGTGGCTGGCTGGAGAGGATGGAGGTGGTGGGCGAAGGAAACAGAGAAGAGAGACCCATTTGATATGTTGCAGAGGTTAGAGAAAAAGACAATGAATGAAGGTTATTTTAGGTAACAAATTAAGATGTATCATAAATTTTTATGCCCACTTCGAGAAAATTTCATTAATTTGAAAATTTTAATTGTGACTTTATTCTATTGTCCATTTTTATGAAATTATTCCAATATAAAATTCATGAAATATTCATATATTTAACTATTAAATATAAAAAAATTCATTCCAAATGAATCCCATAATAGCATTCTCGTTACAAATTCACTAATAATACAAAGGTAGAAGCCACATAGCTGATGGCACCTTTGAATTAATTTTATCATATACTATTTATAAAAAGATAAAATTAATTCAAAAGGTTATTCATACGAAATGCTACTGAATCACGATAGATTGAGTTCATGTGAGGTAACCTGATCTAATTGCTAAGATTGTCGTAGCATTGTATACAGAGATGTCAATTTTTATCATCCCGCCTCGTCCCATCCTGTTAATAACGGATATGGGAACACTTTTTATACCGTTAAGGCGAACATAGATACAAACTTTGAACTGGTTGCGGATCACGGGACGGGTAAGGACTCAATATACATATCCTAGGGGTCGGGCCCCACCCCGCCCAGCCCCGCTAAGCATATAACCATATTTAATATATATATATATATATATAATATTAATAACTTATCTTAGCCACTTACCCAGTTACCCATCTCTTATAATCCTAATGTATGATGTAAACTTGGTATTAAATTTGCTTTTGTTTTAGTTATGATAGAATTTGGAGTTTAGAACTTTTTGTAATTTGGTTGTATTAAGCTTTTATTTTTGTTTATTATGTTCTTTGAATTATGTTATGTGCATGTTATTTTTTTATTTTTGTTGGAATACATAGTTTCATTTATATTATGCCATTCCCAGGCTTTCCACATTTAAATAGCAGGAGTTTAAGTTCTAAAAAGTGGAAGAAAAAAATTTGTTAGTGAGGCGGCACGGTATGTCCCAACGGGGCGGGACTGGACATGAAAATCCAACCCGTCGCGGGTCTCGGGGCGGGCATGAACTTGACAAAAATTAAAAGGGACAGGGTGGGATTTAGGGAAACTCGCTCCAAACCCGTCCCGTTGCCATCCCTAACTGTATATCTATATCTATATTATTATTAAATGTGCAAAGTATTTCAGTGTTTCAGTATTTATATAAAAAGTTTCAGTATTTATTTATTTATTATTAAATGTGCAAAGTGTTTCAGTATTTTAGTATTTATATAAAAGTTTCAGTATTTATATAAAAGTTTCAGTATTTATTTATTAATATAAAAAAATATTTATTAATTGATATAGAACTCTAAAAATTCAGTATTTTAGTATTTATTTATTAATATAAAAAAATATTTATTAATTGATATAAAACTCTAAAAATACTAAAAGAGTTTCTATAAATTCAAATTATAAATTCCCCAATAAATCTATACTATTATTAAAAGAGTTTCTATAAAACTGTGACACAAAATCTATATCTATATCTATACTATTATTATAAAAGATAATGACATTCATCAGGCCTAGCCCAGTTATAATTATGTGAGAGGCGATAGAAATTCAGAGACTCATAATTTCAGAATACATAAGTTTTTGTCGACATTCATCCCAATACCCAAGCAAGCACATCCAAAGTCGTACCGCCAACAAAGGATCATAGGATTGTACTTAATTTTTATAAATTAATAAATTAATTATTATTTGCTTCATATGCAAAGAATACATATTTTACTCAATTTTTATAAATTAATAAACTCAATTTTGATAAATTAATAAATTAATTATTATTTATTTTGTAAAAAAAAAAAAAAAGTATTAATGCATAATAAAATATTTAATAAATTAATTGGTGCATAAATAATTAATTTACCACATATTATTCTCGTACTCTTTTCTTTTCTTTTCTTTTCTTCTTCTTCTTCTTCTTTTTTTATTTTTTTATTTTTTTTAACAACCTCATAATACAAACTAAAGAAACAGATTGTCTAAATTACCGAATCAGTTGTGATGTCAAAGAGGCTGGATCTAAAAGAGAACCATATCATCATCTTTTTTGTTTTTTTGGGCAAGTGAGAACCATACCATTCTAATCCATGCGCTGTGAACTACTCCTGCTAAATTCTCTTTTATTTTTTTGAGCTTTATGCACCCCTCCTCTATTTTCGAGATAACAGTACTTATTATCGTGGTAAATTTTTTTATAAAAAGTAGGAGAGTTGAGTCTCTATTGAAGAATGTAGATGACATTATTGGTACAAATAAAACCCAATCCCACATTTCTTACTTATACCAGGCTATGAACAGAAAGTTCAATTTCTGCATATACAAACAAAATATTTCAACCTACTATCCATTTTTTCTCCAATTTACAAAGATATCCATTTTTTCTCCGACGTACAGAGATATCCATTTAGACAACAAGTGAACTTATCTTGAAGAAACAAAGTTTGATGGATTCAAAGAATAGGTTAATATTTAAAACTGGGCAGTGGATTAGACATTAATATTGTAGTGCATTGTATACCATAATAAGTTAACAACATTAATATATTACGAGTGCTATTGATAATTCAATTTCAAATATGTTAACTTTGACACAAATTAATTACCAATTAAAATTAAATAGGTAAAATAAAATAATTTCTCTAAAACTCTAACACAGTTTTTTAATAAAAGGAAATCTAATTAGAGAAGGATATATTTAAAGAAAATAAAATAATTTTCCTATTTTATTTTCAATAAACACATTAGACAAAGATATATTTAAAGACTTTCTATAAAACTCTAACACAAATTACTTATTTATCTATTTATTATCAATTTTTTAATAAAAGAAAATGTAACTAGATAATAAATTATTAATATAAAAAATATTTATTAATTAATATAGAAAATTAAAAAATTTCTCTAAAACTCTGCCACAAATTATCTTTTATTATGAGTTTTTTAATGAAAGAAAATTTAATTAGACAGGATATATTTAAAGAAAATAAAATAATTTCTTTAAAACTCTACCACAAATTACCGATTTTATTTTCAATAAAACTCTATCACATTAGATAAAGATATATTTAAAGAGTTTCTATAAAACTCTAACACAAATTACATATTTATCTATTTATTATTTTGAGTTAAAATAAAAGAAAATCTAATTAGACAAGAATTTTTAATATAAAAAAATGTATTAATTGCTATATAAACTAATATAATTTTTCTAAAATTCTGCCACAAAATACCTTTTATTATAATTTTTTAATAAAAAGAAATCAAATTAGACAAGGATATATTTTAAAAATAATAATAATTTCTATAAAACTCTACCACAAATTACCTATTTTTTTTTCAATAAAACTCTATTACATTAGACAAAGATATGTTTAAAGAGTTTCTATAAAACTCTAACACAAATTACCTTTTTATCTATTTATTATTAATTGATATAAAAAAGAGTTTATAAAAGTGTTTCTAAAAAACTCTAACACAATTTACCTATTTATCTATTTATTATGAGTTTTTTAATAAATGAAAATCTAATTAGACAAGAATTATTAATATAAAAAAAAATATTTATTAATTGATTTAAAAAGAGTTTTTAAAACAGTTTCTATATAAAACTTTAAGACAAATTTCCTATTTATTTTTTTATTATAAGTTTTTAATAAAAGAAAATCTAATTAGACATAAATAATTAGTATAAATAATATTTATTAATTAATATAAAAAATAAAATAATTTTTCTAAAACTCTACCACAAATTATCTTTTGTTTTGAGTTTTTTTTTTTTTTTTTTAATAAAATGTAATCTAATTAAACAAAAATTATTAATATAAAAAAATATTTATTAATTGATATAAAAAGAGTTTTTAAAGATTTACTCTAACACATATTTCCTAATTATCTATTTATTATTAGTTTTTTTAATAAAAGAAAATATAATTAAACAATAATATATTTAAATAAAATAAAATGAATTCTATAAAATTTACCACAAATTAGCGGTTTATTTTCTATAAAACTCTGTCACATTATA